TTCAATCTGTTATCCTCATCTTGGTTGTTATAGTCACAACGTTTCGTCTATTTCTGAGATGAGGGATTATCATTATTATACACTGATTTATTCAATCTGTTATCCTCACCTTCGTTGTTATAGTCACAAAGTTTCGTCTATTTCTGAGATGAGGAATTATCATTATTATACACTGATTTATTCAATCTGTTATCCTCATCTTGATTGTTATAGTCACAACGTTTCGGCTATTTCTGAGATGAGGAATTATCATTATTATACACTGATTTATTCAATCTGTTATCCTCATCTTGATTGTTATAGTCACAACGTTTCGGCTATATGAAGTCATACCTAGCTCTCCCCAAAGATATGGATTAAATATCATCACAGCTTTGGCTATCCGGGCTTGGTTGTAATCCAGTGTATGAGAAACCCAAATCTAAATTCAAAAACGTAGAGAAGATGACAATTAAACCTTACAATATAACCAAAAAAATCATCGCTAATCACTGTAATAAAGAAAATTAGAGAGTCGTCATCGATCAGGTCCTGAAGGAATACGGCATTAAAGAAATCAAACAGAATCAAATGCCGGCAAACAAAGACATTTTGGGGACTAATTACCAAATTCAAGACGTCGTGGAGGTCCTATCTGATTTATTTCCCGTACAGTAGGCGTCTGTTTATCTCGCAAGATAAAGATAGCATCCTGTGTGGTCACAATTCAGTCTTTCGGAGTGATCTCTCCAGGGCGTAAGTCTGGACAATGGTATATAGAGGCTGTGCGTTCCTCAGACCATGCCTCACTCCCTCTCGGCAGTACCGCCCATATTCAAATACACAGCAATACATTTGGGGGTCGGCTTGGCTGCAGGATCCTAGGCAGAAGGCAGGGGAATAACACTTGGATTCGAGGAAGAACGCACATATACTACACTCTGATCCTAGGCAGGGCATTGCATTTGGGGTCGGCTTGGCTGCAGGATTTACCGAAAAGTTCTCAGTGGTGACAGCCAACCGCCTTCGGGGCTCCACTCCGGGTTTTACTGTCTGGATTTATTTCCATAACTTTTTCCGTGTTTTGAATATAATCACAAGGCAGTGGAGGTTTAAAATCAGGGTTTTCCTTCCCCTAGATAGACTGCCCTCCTGGGCTGCCAAGCCCCATCTACGCGAAGCAGTTGGTTATAAAGCACCGGGTTTCCGTCTTCGCCCGTTCTCAGAAACTGTTTGAGACGCACTTAGTTCTTAATTTACTTTTTATATATTGTCATGGTTGCCCTTTCTGGTCTTTTTAGAATAAATAAAAATGTTAATTTTTTTTTCTAATCCTAGACAGAAGGCGAGGGAGTGACAGTTGGATTCGAGGAAGAGAGCACATATACTACACTATGATCCTAGGCAGTTCTCTTCGTCTTGTTCTTGTAACGGCATTCACCCGATGTGGGTTGAGCCGTCTCCTCTGGAGTTTCATGGGAATTTGGAATTCACAAGCGGTCCTCAAACCCGCATGTATAACACATGAGATTTGATTATAGTGGTGAAGTCACTATAATCAAATATCCTGCTAAATTGTGGCTTCACTAACTCAACCAAGAATTGAACTAGTGACCACGAGATGACAGTAACGCAATTATAATTAATTAATTTTTTATATTCAATATCAGAAGGGTTTGATATTTGGTTATTATAGCGGGTACTTACCACTTTTAATATTTTAGTATTTCATTTTTGAGATGATTAATTGTCAATATGTTTTATTAGTAATGATAGGTTTCATTTTATTTCCACTGTGACCTTTTGAAACAATTTAGGGTCAAGGTGACTACTCTTCAACTGTTCTTATTCACATTCCAAGAAGGGAAAAAGAGGTACTTTATTTTAGGGTCACGTCCTTGAAATTGGCACAAATATTAACGATTAAAACAAGAAACTTCTTCCCTACACGCAAGCCGCTAGAGGCCCACTGGCGGGCCGTCGATGGCAACGCCAGCGGTCCTCTGGTGACAGCCATCGGCGGCAGCCGGTGAGTCTCTAGCGGTCCGCCAATAGTAACACTGCCGAAACGAATACGACTGCGGGCTACCAGCGGTAAATGCTAGTGCCATGCCACCTAGTGGCAGATTGGTGGCTTGCGTATAGGGAATTGTCGTTAATTAAATTAATCTATTCATGAACAAGAATGAAAATTTGACTTAGCAATTGGTAAGTATTAAGAAAAAACTTGTAGGGTGTTCCAACACCTCACGGCACTACAAAGTCATTCGGAGAAATTGTCACGTCCCCCTGGGGTTTTCTTACTCTTGATCCCAAACTGTAATACAACATCTCATCTATTTCACTCCAGACACGCCCCACACACATCCCTATGATATGGTCTGTGACCAAGATTCTTTACTCTGCCTCATGTTTGTTCAACATGTATGTTCAAATTTATTGTTCAAACAACCCGAGGTGATACGTGATTGATTCGTTTTTTACGGTTTATCAATCCTTTACAGTTTGTTTAAGTCGGGTTTTGTTTTGATTGTAAAGAGAGCCATAATCGACTGAGTCTTTAATAAACACGTCATGTGAAAGAGGAAATGGGTAGTAAACAGATAAGGGAAAAACTATAGTAAAGAGTCAAAAGTAAAAGTAACTAAGACTGGAAGTTGTGAAGAGCCATGATCGACCGAGTCTTTAATAAACACGTCATGTGAAAGAGGAAATGTGTAGTAAACAGATAAGGAAAAAACAATAGTAAAGAGTCAAAAGTAAGAGTAACTAAGACTGGAAGTTGTGGAGAGCCGTGATCGACTGAGTCTTGAATAGACACGTCAGATAAAAGAAGAAATGGCTGGTGATCTAATAAGAAAAAAGAAGAATAGTAAAGAGTCAAAAGTTAGAGTAACTAAGAGTGGAAGTTGTGGAGAGCCATGATCGTCCACGTTTCTAAGAAACAGCATATAAATGAAGAAATGAATGGATTACTGAATATGGACAAAGTGGGATACTATAGTGTTAAAAGTTACTAAGAAAAACAAAAGACTGAAAGTCGTGGAGGGCCATGATCGCCACGTCTTGAAGATTTACCATGCAATACATTTTATACTGGTTTTTTTTTTCATTTCGCTTTTACTTACATTTTATTTTGATTTCCAGGTCGTTACTCTACGTTCGTTAGCAAAAAGCAATGATCGGTAATTCAGAATAAAACTCAAAACCTCTTTAAGTGCAAACGAAATCGTGCGACATCGTGCCAATGCGTTCTTTATGCGTAAATTAAAAATAACAGTCTCATGACTTCATATACACGGTGTAAAATGAGGGCTGGATTTTCTGTTGTTACTAAGTAATAAACTCATCCCCCCTCGCAAAAGTACTTAACAGATTTTGTAATAATCGGTCTCAGTTCCTTTATCTGCGTCCTGGGTAAGACGATAAACTACGTCCGCGTCCTGAGTAAGACGATAAACTAGGTCCGCGTCCTGGGTAAGACGATAACCTACGTCCGCGTCCTGAGTAAGACGATAAACCAGGTCCGCGTCCTGGGTAAGACGATAACCTACATCCGTGTCCTGGGTAAGACGATAACCTACATCCGTGTCCTGGGTAAGACGATAAACTACATCCGTGTCCTGGATAAGACGATAACCTACATCCGCGTCCTGAGTAAGACGATAACCTACATCCGTGTCCTGGGTAAGACGATAAACTAGGTCCGCGTCCTGGGTAAGACGATAACCTACATCCGCGTCCTGGGTAAGACGATAAACGACATCCGCGTCCTGGGTAAGACGATAAACGACATCCGCGTCCTGGGTAAGACGATAACCTACGTCCACGTCCTGGGTAAGACGATAACCTACATCCGCGTCCTGGATAAGACAGTAAACTACGTCCAACAGTAAGGCCTCTGATCAGGAGGTTTTGAGGAGCGTGGAGCCACCTCTTAATTGAAACCGACTCGGCCACAAAGGAGCGTTCGGTAGGCAAGGTTTATAAGCAGTAAATTCGACCTTGCCTACCGAACGCTCCTTTGTGGCCGAGTCGGTTAAGGCACGTCAGCGTAAATGACGGTTCCGTATAGGAAGCAGGTTCGAATCCTGTCAAAGGACGAATATTTTCTATGAAAATTTCTCGGACATTCAGGCCGGTAAATGTTATTTAATACTGTTTATTATAAACAGAGCATTTACTTAAATACTTGTATCTATAAAAAAGAACGTTAAACATAAAAATGTCTTTAATAAATAAACAAGACATTATAACGTGAATATAAAGTAGGGGGATCAATTCCATATTATAATCAATATATAAAGTGATCCCCCATTTATGGTCATGGTAGTTTCTATACATTTATATTCGAGAGAACGTAATAAATCTAAAAGACATGCCAACAAGAAATTATGATATGGATCTAAAGTGGGGGATTAATTCTATATTACAATGGATAAATACACTGATCCCTCATTTGCGGCCACGGTAGTTTCTATACATCTATATTCCAGAGAATGTAAATAAATCTTAGACATGCCCACAAGAAATTTTAATGTGGATTTAAAGTGGGGGATCAATTCTATATTACAATAAGTATATGAACTGATCCCTCACTTTGTGGACACGGTAGTTTCTATACATTTATATTCCAGAGAATGTAAATAAATCTGGAAGATATGCCTGCATAAAAATTATAATTTGGATATGAAATGGGGGATCAATTCTATATTACAATCAATATATAAACTGATCCCTCACTTTGTGGTCATGGTAGTTTCTATATATTTGTATTCCAGAGAATGTAAATAAATCTGGAAGACGAGCCAACAAGAAATTATAATGTGGATATAAAGTGGCTGTTGAAATTTCTGGAAAATTATATAACTTTTTTCTGAGGAAAGAGGACTTGGAGAATGTGACACTCAGAGGACATATTTAAGGTAAGAAAGTAAATATAACGTACTAAGGAGCCTTTGCAAGTGGTTCAGCAGACCAGGGATTTCGAAGCTGCTCTGGGATACGGTATATGAAAGGAGATGATGTCTATACATCATCTCCTTTCATATACCGTATCCCAGAGCAGCTCGCCAAGAGATTTTGTTCACACCTACCAAGTAATAATCATCGGATTTAAATCGTCTGCGGCTATTGGAGCTATCGAACTTGTAAATCCTGGATTAGTGAGTTTTAACCAGCATTAAAATCTAATTTAGCTGTTAAGAGAAACAAGGAAAGCTGGTTCATTTGGCTCGGACAATGACCTCTGTTCTAGGACAACGGTAGAGGTAACTCGGCTAAGACGAAATCAACTTTAAATTTGGAAAAATGTATTGCTTTCTCTAATTTCTTTATTCGTCTGGCTGTGGCGTAGGTAGAGGGGAGCGGTCCGCTCCGGGTTGCACTTTTGTTCCGCGGGGAGTTTTCTAAGATGAAAAAAAAACAATAGCATAATTTCAATCAATTTGCAAAAAAAAAAAAAAAAAAAAAATGCCGCGATGAGGAAGAAGGTAGAATCCAAATGAAGCCAATATGTCTTTGATATGGCTGGCTCAAAGACAGCCAGCAATAAAAAAAATAATATATATAAAAATGTCTCCAAAACGGGCTGGCAGCTGGTGGGGATAAACCCCACTTACAATACGTGAAAAGATGCGAAAAAGAATTGAACATTTTTAAAGGACCTGATGTGGGATTGGATTAAGTGAATTTAGTGGTTTGTTTGTTTTTTCTTTTTAAATAAAACAGGGGTCATATAAACAAGTTATCTTTCTTTTAATATCGTAAAAAGTTTTTAAAGTTTTCCCGATTTAGAAAAAAAGTAGTAACGTCTTCGATTTTTTTTACATATCCCATTTTTATTTTTAAAAAATAAACACAATTGTACATTTATTTTATAATTTATTAGTGAGGAGTTATGTAAATACCATGTTAAGAGAAACACGAAAAAAAAACACATGCCATCATACGGGCACTAGTTTCTGCGAAATGGATAAAAATATTCAAAATTGATGGGTGTACGAATAACTTCATTGTTGAATATATATATATATATATATATATATATATATATATATATATATATATATATATATATATGTATGTATGTATGTATAAGTGCGCAGGTATGCAGAAAATAGAAAAGAACACGTTGGGTGCATAATCCGGAGTCCCTTAGTATTTTTGTTTTTATTTTAAGAAGACAGTGCTCCATACAGAAGTAGAGCTTTATTATAATAATATTTTTTGTTTAAAAATATGATTCCTTCGCTATATAAGAGTTCTCATGTTTCAAAAACGAGAGCCGAAATATCCAAATAATTATTAAAATTAAGTTGAATTGAGGTGTTTAGTCCCGTTTCATCTTCAAGCGAAATTTTAGGAATAAACTATCTCTCGGTTTACGTGTATTTTTAGGCATGGTCCGTTACAAAATTCGTTATTGTGGGAGTGGCTAGACTATTTTCCTTCGTTAAGTGGTCAGAGAATTAATTCTTATCAATAGATTCATCATCTTCTGAGAGGTTTTGCTAAGGTTGGGTAGGGTATCTATTTCAAGGCTAATGTTTGCGGTCACCCTTTAGTTGGTTCCCAGTGAAGGATATTTTTATGGCGCGCCTACAAGTCGTTATGTGTCTGGAGAATTGTCTTTTATTATTGTCCATCTGATTGTCTATTTATTTATTTGTTTATTCAAGTGGGTGTTTTATATACAAATCGTATTGCACTGAATTTCAATTTTTTTTTAATGATTTGGCTAAGCTTTTAAGACTTTTATTTAGCTAAGGGTTTTTTTTATGTTAATTATTTAATGCAAAAGTTTGTTGATGTCGGCAAAAAACCGTTAACTCCTGCCTATGGTTTAATAATTTTTCATTATTTAGAAATTTAATGATGTGTAGTTTTTCCTGTAGGCATAAAGGGCATGGGTCATCCCAGGTTTTACAAGTTCTTGTTTTATTTACTATTTTCCATTTTACTTTTGGTGTTTTATTCGTTTCTTTTAGATGCCAGAAATATTGGGATAGAGATGTCTGATTTCTATTTTGAATATATATATATATATATATATATATATATATATATATATATATATATATATATATATATATCTTAGTAGTATAAGAAATAATATAAGAAATTATACTGTTCGGAAAACCTTCAGTGTTTTGATTTGCAAATAATCAAAACAATACCAAAGAGGAAAAAGGTATAAAAAAAAGAAAGAACCAAGAACATGTACGTTAGTCGAAAATAATCGTCTAGCATGCAAGTTCAAAGCTGAAAGTAAAAGAAAACCGATACGAGTAAGCAAAATAACTAAATAAATTGCTCAATACGGTAAGTAGAGCAGACCTAGTTAAACCTAGAGAGCCAGACATAACCTACCAAGGTTTCACCTAAGCGGATCGTCAGGAAGGCTGGCTGCCAGCCCCTGACGATCCGCTTAGGTGAAACCTTGGTAGGTTTTTTCTGGTTCTAGGTTTAACTATATATATATATATATATATATATATATATATATATATATATATATAATGATAATATTAGTGATCAGTAAGGATATTTCCAAAAGAATATAAATCCAGGGAGATCTCTATGTTAGAAACATAGCAATAATTATTATTATAAAAGGCATAAACACTAAAACTTCTTGATGTAATAATTTATTTCATTAGCGTCGTAAAATGGCCTCTATTCATCAGGCCTTCAAGGCTTTTGGATTTGAAGGTTTGATGAATTGAGACCATTTTACGACCCTAATGAAATAAATTATTACATTATGAAGTTTTAGTGTTTATGCCTTTTATAAAAATATAGGGGTAAATTAACTGTCTGACGCCAATTCAACCGGGTTTCGATCATAGCTAGAGGTAACCGGACGTCTCATGAGCTGTGATACGGTGAAACAGTCTGTGGGTGACAGAAAAATTATGTCAGCTGAGCTCTCTGGATAGAACGTTTGAGTTTGTAAACTTACAACTTACATTACTGATACTAATGCAATACTCTTCGATAAAACGAACCGAGTTCTCTCAGTCACTAGCGTGCTTATCTAAAAATAAATACGCTTAAATTTACCTTCATCCCTGGCGTGCACCAACGGCTTAGGGGCAGATTCGCCGACTGACGTTAATTCCCGGCTAGAGGCAACAGGACGTCTAACCACACTGATGAAGGGCATACAGCCAAACAGTCTGTCGGTGGATTACTATATATATATATAAATATATATATAAAGTTGCAAATTAAAAAAAATATATAATAATGTTTTTTTTTATGAAAGTATTTATTTATTTATATATATATTTGATATTTCAGATTGACCTCAATCTTTCTTCAGAAATAACTGTTTGTTACAAATAAATTAAAATTACTGTTCGTTTACAAGTAGCGTCCTTCGCGAGACGCGGACGTCACGTGATATGGAACGCCACTGTGTTCGAATATTCCTAACGTAAATCTAACTATAATAAAATATAACTAATCTATAATATTTTAGATGTTGTTTAAAAAATTTTAACTATATCTAAAAAAATGTTTAACTAATGAAATATTTATAAAGATTTAAAATACCCAAATCTTTATATAAAAATAGTTTATATGTATTTAGTTTTAAAATCCAGTATTTTTCTTTTTTTCTGCGTGTCTATATATATATATATATATATATATATATATATATATAGAGAGAGAGAGAGAGAGATAGATAGATAGATAGATAAATAGATAGATCATGGAGGGAGTTAATGTGCACTGGGGGTTAATGTGCACTGTAATATTGTATTCCTTCTGGGAAAGGGCGGGAAAAACACTAGCTACACCTCTGTCGTCTGGCTACTTAGGGTTATTTTAACGAAGTGGTCCATTAAAAATAAAAGCATCTGTGTATTATAGATTAAAATAGAGCGTGGCAGGAGTACCTCCCACATAACTGTAAGGCATTATCTGCAGGGTGAGACACAAATGTTATAGCGCTCGAATAATTTCTTAGTTTCTCGTTAATAATACTAAAATGAAAACACTAGAACAAAACTTTAGTGAAGAAAACTTATACTGATATCAGGGAAAGGTAACTCCCATCGAACTATAATTTTTACAAGAAGGCGGGGTCCATCATACATAAAATAGAGAGTTACTTTTTGTTGTAGCATACCTACAGACGATAATGGATATGTCCACATTCACATAAATACAGTAGTAAATACTGTATGTTGGTCTGCAGTCGGAGATTCATCTCCAGCTGTGCTGGTCAAACTCTCTGCATCCGGGCAGAGAGAATCTCCAGGTGAGGCTATGTCAAAGGACAGAGTCTTGTCTCAGGAAACAGCTACCCGACCCCGATTCAGACGGGGTCTACAGGGATTTTTTGATCTAGTCTACGGGTTAACCCACATTAAATTCGGCCTTGTGACACATCTGACCGGGTGGGGCGGTTGGTAATCCTGCAGTTAGAGATTTGTCTCCAGCTGTGTTGTTCAAACTCTCTGCCTCCGGGTTGCCCTTCGACATAAACTAGTCTCAGGAAACACCTACCCGATCTAATTTTATACCGTGTCTACGGGGAAACTTTGGCCGGGCTCGGATACCCCACATTAAATTCGGCCTTGTGCCACGTCTGACTGCTTCGGGCGTTGGGTAGATATCCTGCAGTTGGAGATTCATTGTGCAATTCACTTGACTCACTTCTAGCAGGTGACTACTACTTCTACGAGCAGCTGGCGAATCTTATATGAGCTGTTCTTGTCCTAAGTATTATCGTTCATTCATATGCCCCGTAAAGGGATATATTTGAACGAAGTAGCTAAGTGGTTTTGGCTACTATAACCAAGTAGAATACGGTAGCAGTAATCGACTGGTACGCGTCGTAGTCGCAGGTAAGAATGTGTAGATTAATGGTGTAGTCCAATGGGCGTCGTTATAGACTTAGTTTACAGACTAAAGCACTCTGACTCTCCTACACGTCAGTCGGTATTTCTGACGGACACCATCCAATCATATTCCAGTGAGGGGGAACACAGGTGTACGCATATTCCATTATATCATTCATTACCAACCTTCTTGTGGTTATTCTATTCAGTAACCTTCCCTAGGTTAAAACACTTTTCAATCACCCTGTACAATAATAGCGAAGACCGTAGTTCAGTGCAACAATGCTTACGACTCAACGCTATGCCTTATGACCTACTATGCGACCTTGTTACTATGAGACGATCTACCCATAGTGAACGGGCGTGTGTCCTGTTTTCTTTTTCTTTAAGTAATTCACCCCAATCAAGGCGGGAGTGCCAAAGTACGCAAGGGGCGACAGAGAGTGTAAGTATATTGGGTGCTGGGGAAGGGATAAAAAGAAGAAGGGAGGAGGATAAAGAGAAGGACAGGGGTCAAGGTCAAGGCACGAGAAGATGTCGATTGACATTACATTTGGATATTTGAAGATTATAGTTATCAGGGAAGCAAGTAAGAGGAAGGGAGTTCTACTGTCGGGAAGTGCGAGGGAAGAAGCTGTTGGAGTAGAAGAGGGGGTTGCATTTAGATTTTTGCCGTGAACCCCGAGATAAAATTAATCAACGACTGTCAGCGTCGATTATTGTCTGCGAGATTGTCTGAAGAGGCGATGAAATAGGAAACAAAAGATGAAATCTAATATTCATCTTCATCATCTTTCGGGTTCCCTATGGCTGGTTGAAACTCCATAGACAATCCCTTTCCACACTGTTCGATCTTGCATTGCTGTCTCCGGGATCGCCAATTTCCAACCCAGAGTCCAGAGCTATGGTGTATGGGAAAGTCAATTTTCGTGTGAAAACACTTCCAGAAGGATGCAATTGGAGTAAGGACGAGACGATTTCTCTGCCCGCTCGGTGGCAGTGACCGGCAAATTCATACTCATTCTTTCTCTTCTTTTTTTGCTTCATATCTCGTCGTCATCATCTTCATCCTTCGACGTCTCTAAGGTTGGTTGGAACTTCATTGACAATCCCTTTCCACGCTGTTCGGTCCTGTTTTTCCCTAATGTCCAACCCTGTCCTAATCTATGGTGTCTGGGAAAGTCATAATAAAAACGTATTGATATTTACTCAACTCAAAGTTAAATCCTCCTTCAACCTCCATATGGTTGGTCGGAACTCTATTGACAACCCCTTTCCACACTGTTCAATCCTGCATTGCTGTCTCCAGATCCCCAATGTCCAAACCTGAGTTACGGTGTCTGGGACATAGATGCCAACCTAGTAGCACGCTTAAATTCATGCAGTCGGGACATCAGTGGAAATAGCTCATCAGGTCAGATGTCATGAAAATATTTATTAAAAAAAAATGAGAGAAGCCACATTACATCTGTGATAAAATGACTGGAAACGAGATCCCAAGTTAGGACCGATCACACTGCATATACGTCTTAGGATTTTGTCGAGAACTTCAAGATGAAGAGCGGGGGCACCAGATATGGTAACAATATTCAGGGTAGAGATGGTCAGTCGTCTTTCTCCAGAACTAGAAATAAATGGTGAAAAGCTCTAAGCAATTCTTTCTGTCGCAATCTTCGATTTATTCTCCACGATGGCAAGCAGAGCGTCTTCATCGACATTTGGAAATTTTCTTCTTTAGTCTTTTTCTATTCTCTCTTTTTGTCCCCTTTCCATCTATTTTCTCACATTAATTTTCTTCTCTTCTTTCTTCGAGTTTTTCTTTCTTTTCTCAACACTTGTACCACATTCCTTTTTTTATTCGCTATCATTTTTTCCTTCTTTTTTTCTTTCTTAGTTTTCTTCTTTTTTCCTTCCGTTTCTTTTGACTTTACTTTTTAATTCTTTCTTTGCTTCATTTTCTTTAACACTCTTTTCTTCACATTATTGTTTTTCCTTCTTTTTCCTCTTTCAGTTTTCTGCCTTGTTTCTTCTTTTTCTTTTTCTTTCTTTTTTTCATTTTTTTTTTACTTTTTCATTGTCTTTCCTACTATTTTTCTTTATTTTAATAAATCGTTCTTCTTTTTTCTCATTCAGTTCACTTATATCTTTTCTGTTTTTCCTACTCCTATTCTTCATTATATTCTTTTCTCTTTTAATTTCCTTCCTATTTCCTTCCTTCTTTCTTCCTTTTTCTCTAGCAAACTTCTTTTTCTTCGTCTTCTTCTTCTTTTTTCTTCTTTTTCTTCTTTTTTCTTCTTTTTTCTTCTTCTTTTTCATCTTTTTCTTCTTCTTCTTTTTCTTCTTTATTTCTTCTTCTTTTTCTTCTTTATTTCTTCTTCATCATCTTCTTTTTCTTCTTCTTCTTCTTCTTCTTTTCTTCTTTTCTTCTTTTTTCTTCTTCTTCATCTTCTTCTTTTTCTTCTTCTTCTTCTTTTCTTCTTTTTCTTCTTCTTTTTCTTTTTTCTTCTTTTTCTTTTTCTTCTTTTTTCTTCATCTTTTTCTTCTTCTTCTTCTTCTTTTTTTCTTCTTTTTTTCTTTTTTTTTCTTCTTCTTCTTTTCTTCTTCTCTTTTCTTCTTTTTTTCCTTCTCTTTTCTTTTCTTCTTCTTCTTTTCTTCTTTTTCTTCTTCTTCTTTTTTCTTCTTCTTTTTTCTTTTTCTTCTTCTTCATCTTCTTCTTTTCTTCTTCTTCTTCTTTTTTCTTCTTTTCTTCTTCTTTTTTCTTTTCTTCTTTTTCTTCTTTTTTTTCTTCTTTTTTTTTTTCTTCTTCTTTTTCATCTTTTCTTCTTCTTCTCTTTTCTTCTTTTTTTCCTTCTCTTTTCTTTTCTTCTTCTTCTTCTTCTTTTCTTCTTTTTTCTTTTCTTCTTCTTCTCTTTTCTTCTTTTTTCCTTCTCTTTTCTTCTTCTTCTTCTCTTTTCTTCTTTTTTTCCTTCTCTTTTCTTTTCTTCTTCTTCTCTTTTCTTCTTTTTTTCTTCTTCCTCTTCTTCATCTTTTTCTTCTTCTTCTTCTTTTCTTCTTTTTTCCTTCTTTTTCTTCTTCTTCTTTTTCTTTTTTCTTGTTTTTCTTGTTTTTCTTGTTTTTCTTCTTCTTCTTTTTCTTCTTTCTCTTCTTCATCTTTTTCTTCTTTTTCTTCTTCTTCTTCATCTTTTTCTTCTTCTTCAACTCATTCCTTCAACCATCCCTATCGTTCATCGTCTCACATTTTCCTGTCTCTTTTCGATTACCCTCCCCCTCACCAATTATTTGTTGGTTTATTTGTTGTTATCCTCCCCCACCCACCGCCTTGCACCGACCCGTCCATCGGTCTTTATCTTGTGATTTGTTTCCGCTTTGAAGTTTTCTAACCCTTCCGACCGTGTAAGGAAAAAAATCCCTTTCCCAACTCCAGACATGCTCAAAAACGTACCCCCCCGCCCTCCACGCACACACATAAATCACCTGCCTTCTAGGGTACTTTGAAATCCACCTGATCACTCCCACTTAATCCAAGTTAACCCGCCCGATTCTCAAATACATTTCAACTTCAATTTCTCATTCCTTTCGAGCAATACCTCCCCGAATTTAGTTTGAGTTCATGCCTTAGTAATGCCGTTTATGTTGCTGTTTTTTGTTGTTGTTGTTTTGAAGAGATCGTATATACGTATATAGGAATGTGTATTTTTTAGCTTTGAACAAGTTTTTGAAAGAAAGAAAGAAAGAAAGAAAGAAAGAAAGAAAAGAAAGAAAGAAAGAAAGACAAATTCAGGAGAAGAAGAGTAAAAAATCGAAAGAAAGAATGAAAATGTCAGGCGAAAGAAAGAATGAAAATGTCAGGCGAAAATAAAAGAAAGAAAGAAAGAAAGAAAGAAAGAAAGAAAGAAAGAAAGAAAGAAAGAAAAATTAAGCAAAAGAAAAGTTCAGAAGAAGAGTAAAAAATCGAAAGAAAAAATGAAAATATCAGGCAAATGAAAAGATATCAGAAGATATCAGAAGTGCAAAAGAAAGAAAGAAAGAAAGAAAGAAAGAAAGAGGAAAATGAACTGAAAATAGTAAAACAAAAAATGAATGAAATAAAGAAAAAAGAAGATGAAATGAAAAAGGAAAGAAACAATGAAAGAAAGAAACAAAAAAGAGGAAAATGAAATGGAAAAAGTAAAAACAGAAAGGAACAAAAATGAACAAAATGGAATGAAAAAATAGAAAAAGAAAGAAAGAAAAAATGAAAGAAAGAAAGAATGACGAGACAAGAAGGAAAATAAAAGTAAGAAAGGAAGGAAGAAAGAGGAAAATGAAATAGAAAAATAGAAAAAGAAAGAAAGAATAAAATAAAAAACAAGAAAGGAAAATAAAATGGAAACTAGAAAATCAAAGAAAAAAGAAAGAAAGAAAGAAAGAAAAAAGAAAGATGAAAATGAAAGCTAAAAAAGAAAGAAAGAAAGAAAGAAAGAAAGAAAGAAAGAAAGAAAGAAAGAAAAAAGAAAGATGAAAATGAAAGGTAAAAAAGAAAGAAAGAAAGAAAGAAAGAAAGAAAGAAAGATGAAAATGAAAGGTAAAAAAGAAAGAAAGAAAGAAAGAAAGAAAGAAAGAAAGAAAAAAGAAAGATGAAAATGAAAGGTAAAAAAGAAAGAAAGAAAGAAAGAAAGAAAGAAAGAAAGATGAAAATGAAAGGTGAAAAAGAAAGAAAGAAAGAAAGAAAGAAAGAAAAAAGAAAGATGAAAATGAAAGGTAAAAAAGAAAGAAAGAAATAAAGAAAGAAAGATGAAAATGAAAGGTAAGAAAGAAAAGAAAGAAAGAAAGAAAGAAAGAAAGAAAGAAAGATGAAAATGAAAGGTAAAAAAGAAAGAAAGAAAGAAAGAAGAAGGAAATGAAATGAAAAATAGAAAAAGAAGGAAAGGTGTATTCTTGAAGAAAGTGACTAAAGAGAGAAAGAAAACATTAAAATAAAAATCGTAAAGAAAAAAGAACTTAGATCAAAAAGGTGAACGACAGAAAATTAAAAGAAAGAAAGAAAACAGATGAGAAGAAAAAGAAAGACAGAAAGAAAGAAAGAAAGAAAGAAAGAAAAGGAAAATAAGATGAATAAAGAGAAAGAAAGAAAAAAAGAAACAGAAAAAGAAGATGAGATAAATAAAGAGAAAGAAAGAAAGATAAAAAGGAAACGAAAGAAAGGAAGAAGCATAAATACATAAATAGAACAACCATTCGCCCTTGCATGGAGTATTGCTGCCATATATGGGTTGGAGCACCTTCTGCTTACCTCGGAGTTCTTGACAAGATCTAGAGAAGGATATGTAATCTAATTGGCCCTGATCTAGCGTCTTGCTTGCAGTCACTCTCTCACAGACGCGCCGTCGCCTCTCTGTCTTTTTCTACAAATACTTCCATGGTAACTGCTCTGATGAGCTGCTCTCTCTGGTTCCCAGACTCCATGAATTCAAGCGCCCTACGAGGCTGGCATCCCGCTCCCACCCTTACACCGTAGAAACCTTCAAATGTAGCCGTCTCTTCTACTCCAATAGCTTCATACCTCGCACCTCTCGCCAGTGGAACACCCTCCCCAATTACTGTTTCCCTGAAAGCTATAATCTCCAACTATTCAAATGTAATGTCAATCGACATCTCCAATTACCTTGATCTACCCACTATCCTTCTCCTCTTCCTTTCTCCTATCACTCTTATCTGCTCTCGCTCCAAACCCCCTGCATCCTAGTGGCTTCACGCCTTGCTTGGGGCACAATGCTTAAAAAAAAAAAAAAAAAAAAAAGAAAAAGAAAAAAAGAAATAAAGATTTTAATTGGACCGATGTGATGTATTTCATTATATGTCATATTCTTCTCATCATGGGTACATTCATATTCTTGTAAAATCTACAAGAAGAGTGGATGTAAAACAATAAATAATTAAAAAAAGCAAGCAGCTTCTTATCATAATCGTTATTTCAAATCGCAGAATGAGAAAAGAAGATAAATTAAACCTTTGAGCCAACAGATAAATCGCCTCTGTAATTTAAATATTAACACCTTTTCTCGTTGTCCGTGCGTGAAAACAATCGCCAAGGAATTTCAAACTATTCTTTTTCTCCTCAAAGATTCAAAGTCTGTTTTATTTCGAAACTTTTTTGGAGATTATCGATTGCTAAGGATACAATGAATTCATTACATTGCCACTGGGTGGGCGTTCCAGGGAGGACAGTCTAGGACAAAACCTATCTAACAATTATTTACGTTACATACCGGAATTGCCACTATATTATATATATATATATATATATATATATATATATATATATATATATATAATTGTCATCCTTGATGATGGCTTTTGCAAGCCGAAAGCTGAGATAGGATTAAAAAACATGTATCAATATGATGATTTTCTTTCGTCTTTCAATGATAATGTTATTAAGCTTATCAGACGATATGAAAGGAATTTGCTTAAAATAAATAGACAAAACTTCTCTATATTATTTAATGAAACATGCATCAATACACACACACACACACACACACACATATATATATATATATATAATGCAAGACTCTTCGTTGAATCGAGTTCTCTCAGTCATCTCCGACTGACGCCAATTCAATCGGGTTTTGATCCTAGTGAGAAGCAACCGGACGTCTCGCCACACTGATGAGCTGTGATACAGCGCAACAGTCTGTCTTTGCATTACAATATATAATATATATATATATATATATATAGAGAGAGAGAGAGAGAGAGAGAGAGAGATATGCACATTTCATTGAATACGACAGACAAGGTGCTTTAATTTAATTTTGTTTTTTACAATTTCTCGTGCGATCTAATAATTTTTTTTTTCTTTTCAGATGATAAATTATATAAAAACTGTCCGAATGTTCTTTTTATGCGAGCGCTTTCGGCTATCATTTATCATCTCAACAGAAAAAAATAATTAGATGAAATATGCATATATATATATATATATATTATTTATGGGCATCGATCCATATATATATATATATATATATATATATATATATATATATATATATATATATATATATATATATATATATATATATATATATATGGGTCGATGCATGTATATTAACAAATATTTACTTTGTTACTTTAAAGCAAAACAAATCAATTATGATATTAATTAACATAACATCACGATTTCAATATAAAGAATAAAAAAATATATTTTTAATTTCGAATAAAAAATGTAAAACTGGGAGAAAAATCTACAGCTCTAAAAATGAAAGGCGTAAACAAAACTAACGTTTAATGAACGTGAGCGTGTAAAAAAACGTTAAATTATATATATATATATATATATATATATATATATATATATATATATATATATGAATGTGAGCGTGTAAAAGAACATTAAATTCGTGAATACACATGTCTACAAAAAGGAAAAAAAAAAAATAAGCGGATTGAGAAAGACGCGGAACAAGTTGAAAAAAAATTTTTAAATTGGAAATACTGTTTTTAAACGCCAACCCCAGAAGACTTGAAATTTTACCAAGAAACATCGATGCCGGGCTAAAATAGATATTTTAAAGTTAAGTAATATAGATATATATATATATATATATATATATATATATATATATATATATTACTTAACTTTAAAATATCTATTTTAATTTTGTTTTTCAGAGTCAAGAACATTAAAACAAGGCGAAACAATCGTCAAGTGTTTAAGCTCCAAGTCCAAAGAAAAAAAAGCTACAAAACAGTAAAATAAAAACAACGACGTAGAGTGCCCATTGCGTTAAGTGGAGCGATAAATTAGAAAGCCTAAGGCACCAGGCAAACCTACCTAGTTTTCACCTAAACGGATCTTCAGTTTAAAGCCGGCTCTACTCTGAAGATCCGATTAGCTGAAACCTAGGTAGGTTTTTCCTGGTTTTTAGGATTTCTAGTATATATATATATATATATATATATATATATATATATATATATATATATATATATATATATATATTGAACAATAAAAATATTAAAATCTTCAGACACACTGGGTTGTATATTAATATTCTTTCGTTTCTTTCATGGCCATCATCAGGAGAAAAATAATTTTCTGCTTGCTGGTAGCAGTGAACTACAGAAATGAATGTCTTGATGGAGAAAATGAACTTTTGTCTGTAGTTTTCATTTGTTTTTTTATTTTTTTTTTAACATGAATTTTGGTCAGTCTTTGTGTTGGTCAAACAGTTTCTTTTAAGTTGTTATTTGAGATAAGAGCTGGATGGATTCATGCTGCTCTGAATTCCCTTGGTCATTTTGACAGTTTTATTGGTTCCTGGAAAGGGGGTTGTGTCTCTGTTAAATGTGTGTGTGTGTGTGTTTTATTTGGTTCTTAGGGAGTGAGTGAGTATGATGTGTGTAAGCGTGTATATTACTATGGGTGTGTGTTATCATTTGGCTCATTAGGGAATGAGTGAGTATGATGTGTGTAAGTGTGTATATTCGTGTGGTTGTGTGTATAAGTGTGAGGCCTCAACACCTCCGGAAGCATGTTGGTCTTGTGTGGGTGAGAAATGTGGGTAGGTCCTGGTTTGTGAGCTTATATATTAATGCTATCTATATTGTTAAATTTGTAATTGATTTTTATATATATATATATATATATATATATATATATATAATGAAAAACAGCAAGATATGTAATCCAGTGTTCTTATGGATATTTTTATTTTTACAAAACAGTGCTCAATGTAAATTTACAGAGCATAAATATTATAAATTAACTGATTTAAAATATGTTTTTGTCGCTACACAATAATAACCATGTTTCAAAAACTGAAGCTAAAAACTTCAAATTTAATTATTATTAGTTCTGTTTCATCTTCAAGCGAAGTTTGTCAAAAATTTTTCTTAAATAATATTTAAAAATAAAATAAATGGTAGCTGGTAATATAAATACTTATATTTTATATAAAAAAATAATTTTAAATAATTTAAGTAATTCTATTATATTTACTTGTTTTAAAAAGAAATATAGTCTATTTAGTAATTAAGAATAAAAATATTTTAAAATTATAGTTAGATAAAACGTATTCTAGCCCAAACACCTCTAGATAGAATCTTAAAGTATACAAGTACAAAAAAACTGCCTAAAAACATTTTGCCGTTAATAAAAAATAGAAAAAAATAAAAATAAAAAACTCAGACGACATGCATTTTTCGGATGTCACAATTCGTTGAAAAATACACCCCTACCCTCCCTAAAGTTAACCTCTTTTTCGAACGTAACTCATTATTGATACAACAATAGTTAATAAAAATGAACATGCTACCGCCCCTGTCTAAATGATTGGATTTCTCTGTATCTTTGGAAACAGGAAATTATAAATTTATATGTGCGTTTAAAACTCAGTAAATTTAAAAATAAGTTATTCAAATATTCGCTTGAAGATGAAACAGAACTAACGCTTTTAATTTAATTATATAATTAAATTTGAAGTTTTTAACTTCAGATTTTGAAACATGGTTATTACTGTGTAGCGGAAAAACACATTTAAATCAGTTAATTCATTATATATATATATATATATATATATATATATATATATATATATATATTTGTTATGTCATGTCCCTTCTTTAATGATGTTTCTCCCCATAAAGAAATTATGACAAATGGTGATTGTCAGTTTCCTTTCAAGCTTTTATCCGATCTTCAGACCAATGCAAACATCAACTGGCCTATAACATCTAATTTTACATTATTTTAAATAAACTATTTAAAGAAATGATACAAACCGTATGTAATCCAAATTTTTCATGGAAATAAAATTAGAATTTTTAAGAAGGACTTCCTGTTTTAATGATTATTTATATCAATTTCAGCAGAGATACAAAACTAGAAAGAAGTGTAAGGCAAGGATCGGTCTTTTCACCTGACTTATTCAACCTGTAAAGCGAGGTAATTGTGAGAGAACTGGAAATCCTACCAGGATTCATCATTGGCGGCCACAATTTTAACAGCATAAGATACGCAGATGTCACAGTGCTGATAGCAGACACAGAAATAAAATTACAAAACCTTCTAGCGAAGGAGAGCAAGAAGAAGGGACTAAGTATAAATTACAAGAAGACAGAAAAGCAGGGTCATCAGTAAAAGGATGAGAACAAAATGTGATTTACAGGTCGGGGACACTCAAATTCAAGCAGGTGTGGAAATTTAAATATCTGGGACGTGTTTTGACAGATGACGCAAAGTGCGACACTGAGATCTGAAGACGTCTTGGAATGGCCAAAGACGCATTCCAAAAGCTAGGCAGAGTATTACAAGACAGGAGGATTTCGTTGGCAACAAAGAAAAGCGTACTGAACTGCTACGTTAAATCTGTCCTCTTTTACGGCAGCGAATGCTGGACGGTCTCCTCAAAGATGAAGAAGAGACTCGAGGCAACGGAGATATGGTTCTACAGAAGGATGCTAAGGATATCATAGACTGAGCGTGTGAGCAATAATGAGGTTTTGGAGAGGATGCAAACAAGGAGGAAACTTATACTTAACATCAGAAAGTGGCAGCTGAAATTTCTGGGAAAGGTAATGAGAAAGGAGGGCTTGGAAAATCTAATCCTCACAGGGCGGTTAGAAGGGGCAAGGGAAAGCAATTTGTGACATGCTTAACGGGGTTAAGCAAGTGGATGGCAGGACAGGGTCTGGGTGAGATAATAAAAGAACAAAACTTATTGACAGCTACAAGGGAAAGGAAGAAGTGGAGAGCCATGATCGTCTACATCCTGAAGGGACACGGTACATAAAAGAAGAAGGATGACTTCTGTGTTCCTATGACACGCAGAGTTCTGCTGTCCATTATCGCCTAACAAGAGCAACCTAGCCAGAGAAGTCAATAGAACAACGCTAGGGGAGATAGATAGATAGATAGATAGATAGATAGATAGATAGATAGATAGAGAACGGACTGAGATAGATAGATAGATAGATAGATAGATAGATAGATAGATAGATAGATAGATAATGAACAGACTGAGATAGATAGATAGATAGATAGATAGATAGATAGATAGATAGATAGATAGATAGATAGATAGATAAAGAACGGACATAGATAGATAGATAGATAGATAGAGATAGATAGATAGATAGATAGATAGATAGATAGATAGATATAGAACGGACTGAGATAGATAGATAGATAGATAGATAGATAGATAGATAGAAAGAAAGAAGAAGAAGAAGAAGAAGAAGAAGATGATGAAGAAGAAGATAGATAGATAGATAGATAGATAGATAGATAGATAGATAGATAGATAAAGAACGGACTGAGATAGATAGATAGATAGATAGATAGATAGATAGATAGATAAAGAACGGACTGAGATAGATAGATAGATAGATAGATAGATAGATAGATAGATAGATAGATAGAAAGAAAGAAAGAAAGAAAGAAGAAGAAGAAGAAGAAAGATAAGAAAAAGAAGATTATGGAGAAGGATTCGATGAAGAAGGAGAAAGAGAAAGATAAAAAGAAGATGAAGAGGAAGAAGAGAAAGAAGAAAGAGAAAGATAAGAAATGATGAAGAAGAAGAAGAGAATTATGATGGTGAAGACGAAGAAAATAAAGGAAGAAGAAAAAGAAAACGAAGATGATGATAAAAGATGAAAAGAAGAAGCTTTTTTAAAGTCACCTCCTTGCACAGTTGGCCCCATTAACCGGCTATTTATTGTACGCAATGTCCCGTTTAACCGGAACTCAATACGTATAAAACATGATGTCTGCGGCATACATTAATAATAAAAAAAAAAATGAAATTCCAATCGTCAAGCACCAAAAGCGGCCCCAACTCCAATTATACTGCAAATGGCTTGTAAGATAATCTTATAAACCACCATTCCACTGTTCGGCCACATAATTCCTGAAATACTCTAGAATCTTGTGAGCGCTTTCTTATATCGTTAAATAATTGAACAGGATTTGACCAATAAAAGAATCGACAAGGAATTCTCTTCCGATTCCAATTCTCACCGATGCCACTTGATTAACACCTGATAATCCCACCCGACTCGGCCTTGAGGAATTTTATAAATATGCATAAGAGAGACGCTGTTTTAACGGCAAGGAATAAATCGCCCCGAACTTTCAACCAATCGCTATTCGCAGAAACTTATTTCAAATATTCCAAGCCTTGCGGCCATATCACTTTGAAACATTGGTTCTCCTACGATTACCGAAGTTAAGCAATGCCGAACGTGGTCAGTACATAGATGAGTAACCCCTTGGAAATACCAGGTGATATAAAATTGGATGTCAATTGGTATCGCCAACGGCCATATTGCGTTGAAAGATCGGTTCTCGTACCACCATCGAAGTTAACCAACGTTTAGCCTGGTCATTATCTAGATGAGTAACCGCTTGAAAATACCAGGTGAGATAATATTGGATGTGAAGGTAATATGGCTTACAGCCATATCGCTGTGAAAGATTAGTTCTCATACCACCATTGAAGTTAAGCAACGTTGAGTCTGATCAGTACCTAGATGAGTAACCGCTTTGAAATACCAGGTGAGATAATATTGGATGTTTAGTTAATATGGCTTACAGCCATATCGCGGTGAAAGATTAGTTCTCATACCACCATTGAAGTTAAGCAACGTTGAGTCTGATCAGTACCTAGATGAGTAACCGCTTTGAAATACCAGGTGAGATAATATTGGATGTGAAGGTAATATGGCTTACGGCCATATCGCGGTGAAAGATTAGTTCTCATACCGCAATCGAAGTTAAGCAATGCCGAACGTGGTCAGTACATAGATGAGTAATTGCATGGAAATACCAGGTGATATAAAATTGGATGTGAAGCAATATTGCTTACGGCCATATCGCATTGAAAGATCGGTTCTCGTACTATCATCGAAGTTAAGCAATGCCGGACCTGGGCAGTATCTAGATGGGTGACAGCTTGGGAATGGAAGGTGATGTAAGATTAGATGTGCCGATAATATGTCTTACGACAACACCGAGTAAGATCACCGAAGTTAAGCAATGCCGAACCTGGTCAGTACATAGATGAGTAACCGCTTGAAAATACCAGATGATGTAAGATTGAATGTGAATGTAGTATCGCTTACAGCCATATCGCGTTGAATGATCGGTTTACGTACCATCAGTGAAGTTAAGCAACATTGTGCCGAGTCAGTACCAAGATGGGTGATCGCTTGGAAATACTAGATGATGTAAGCTTGGATGTCCGGATAGTGTGCCTTACGGCCGTATCACGTTAATACACCGGTTCCTGTACGATTGTCAAAGTTAATCAACATCAGTGCCTAGATGCATGACCACTTGGGACTATCAGGTGCTGTGAGCTTGGATGTGCAGGTGGTGTAATTGATAATGTCTCGAAATTGGAAATCGGGGCGGTTCTAAAATCACTCAAATCCGTTATATTCACTTACTCACAAATGCCCTTGGGAAAGGTAAGAATACACATTATCTCATCAGGACAGGTATCAATAAATTAATTATTATTTCCAAAAATTCTTACAAAGTAAAAATATTTAAATAAACTGTAACATGTTGATAAACCGTAAAAAAGAAATCGCTCATTCTACGTAGAGGCTCATTAAAAAAAAAAAAAAAAGAATGATTACCCGATTGCTTTAAAACTGGATAAGTTTTTCATGAGGTCTTTTTCTGCTGAATTTAAGACATTTTGTAAAAAAAGTAAAGTGTCTATCGCCCGGCTTACGCTTCTCCCCTAACTTTTAAACTGGAGTAGAGGTTTAAACCTCATTTGCAGTTTAGGATTTGCATTTCTGGTTCCTTCTAAAGTTTTTTCATTCTATTTCACTCCCTGTAACCCCTTGCGTCTTAGTGACATTATCTCGTTACTTGAGGTGAACTGGTTAAAGAGAATATATATATATATATATATATATATATAGATAGATAGATAGATAGATAGATAGATAGATAGATAATATTAGTGGTAAATATACACATACATATGCAAAGTATATAAATATATATACATAGGTGCATACACATACATGTATATTTTTTGAATAAAAAATTCCGAGAGGATAGAATCCAGGTAGAACTCAATGTCCAGGACAGAGTAAGGATATAATAAAAAGGCTTTAATACTAATATTCCATGGTCATAATTTATTCCATTGGAATCGTAAATACGATCCAATTCATCAGACCTACAAATTCAAAAAGAAAACAGAAAAAAAAACAACTCCGAAAATAAAAATAGAATTTAGAGAGAGTGTAAGTATGAGAGTGTGGGACGAATGTTAGTGTTAAAGAGAGGGGTAACAGACGAGAGAATGTGGGAGATTAAAACTTAACAGATAGGTTGTTTTTTTTACTAGAGGTGAGTGGAAGGGGGAAATATGAATGTTGTCGGATGTCTAATACATTAAAGATACATTTCATGGTGACATACACACACCATAGACGATCTAATGTTAAAGATCAGAATAAGAGAGAGGGAGAGAAAAAGAAAGAAATGGAATATTAGTGTTTAAGCCTTTTTATTATATATATATATATATGTGTGTGTGTGTGTGTGTGTGTGTGTGTGTGTGTGTGTGTGTGTGTGTGTGTGTGTGTGTGTGTGTGTGTACTTTTCTTCTGATACCTCGCTTTGTCTATTTTCTGGTAATCTCTGAAACTCGTTCGTTATTTGCTGTTTCACAAGCATCTCTTACTTTACATACTTTTCGTGAGTGTTCTATTTTCCAAGCCTTCTTTCTTTATAATGTGTCCCGGTTATTTCAAGGGTTTCTTTCTGATTGTCAGCAGCAGTTACCTTGTGTTCCTCTTAACCATGTTGTATTTTTAAATCATGACATTTTTTTTTTACGTTGGGCGGGAGGGACTGTCTTCTATGTTGAATTCTTACTCACAAGCCATCGATTTTGGTAATGACTTATTTTCGGGTGGGAGGTTTTCGGCATCATCCACAAAGAAATCCAACTATCGCTCACCCTAACGACGAAGGCTGGCGTAAAAAATGATACGAAGGAATAATAATAATAATAATAAAAGAAAAGAAAGATCTCTAATGACAGAGAAGGCAGCGGAATAAAAGATGGGCGGGAAAATATTGCAATCATGAAGACAGTTCAAGGATTCCAAGCGAGACAAATGAAGAGGGGGGTAAAAAACAAAAGGAGAGGCGCTGAACTGGAGCCAAGCCTTTAGACTTGCCGACATAGGTCAAGGAGAAACACAGCGCAACCTCTCAGCATTGAAAACGCAATCAACAACAGGAGTTCAAATTTAACTAGTGACGATTCATTTCCCAATGGGCAATTCGACATGGTAGCAATGGTTAACAAGCTTGTCCCTTTAGATCTATTACAAGTGAGTTCGATCCACAATGGGTGCTCCACACTTTCAGCCTTGTACCGCATTCTAAACTACGCTTAGAAAATCATTAGGGCACTTCGACTTGGTAGCAATGGTTAACAAGCTTGCCTCGCTAGATTAATTATGGTTGAGTCGTGAGTTCGATCCTCACCGGGTGCTCCACACTTTTGGCCTTGTGCCACATTCTAAACTTTGCTTAGAAAATAATTTGGGCATTTCGATGTGGTAGCAATGATTAGCATGCTTGTCCCGGTAGATCAACTACGACTAACTAGTGAGTTCGATCCTCACCGGGTGCTCCACACATTCCGCCGTGTGCCACATTCTACGCTACGCTTAGAAAATTATTTGTGCATTTAGCTTCAAAGCCGCCCTATCGAGTGGCATTTAAGTTATCTCTTGCAGGAAGCTCTTGATTGAGCTTTCAACTTATTCAGGGGTCCCTAAGTCTTCGCATATTCTCAGCATTGAAAGCTCTCCAGGTTGTCGTTTGGCTTTCATTTCTTGTCCTCGCTGAAGCCTTGGGTTTTTTTATTGCAATCTGGTCCTTATTTATTTTTGCGAGTAATATTACTGCTATATGAAACATGTAACAATTAACTACAGAAGAACTCAAAATTGATCGCTGCATTTAAGTATTGCATTAATATTTAAGCTTACCTTTTAAAAGTTCAACAATAATTCTTCTACCCCGACTTAAAGACAATTAGATGTACGTAGGTCCTTACTTTCCGTACACACAATTATTTTTATTATTTTATGGATCACTTTCGGCGGATTTCGCCATTAATTTCGATTATTCACAAATTTATTTCCAAGTTATAAAAACTACATTATTTACATTATTCGGACTATTGTCCTCATCTTTGTCACCATATTTATCACAACGTTTCGGCCGTTGTACGCTCCGGCCTTCTTCAGGTGGTTGGAATTTCGAACTGAACCCTTTATTTCGCTCACTGGGGTAGACAAGTGATAGCGATTGCTGTATAAGTCGTACGATTATTGAATCAAGCACGGGCAACGCCGGGTCATGCTGCTAGTAACTAATATAAGCATTAAGCGGGAAAAAAATTCTCGAAATTTTATAACATTAAATAAAATAACGGGTAACGGATCTAATAAATATGTATTTCCGAAATTTTTCTAAACAAGAAACATTTCTATAAATTAATTCATTAGTAAAGGTCCTGAAAGTTTCATTAAAATCGACAATTATTTGATTTTTATATGAATATCAAAATCAATGTGTACTTTTCACCGCAAAAGAAACGCTAAACATCCTCAGACTAATCTTCGGTCCACATCCGCGGTTTGATGCCAGTAAAACAACATTTTAACTAACAATTCAAACTTCCTAACAAGTATAAAAATATAATTTAATAATCAAAATATTATTTGGTCTTTCCTCCTAATAATGACATAAGGTTTTTGATTATAAAACTTTGTTTTTTATTAAGTTTGGGGCATTTTATTCAATCAAGATATTAGCGAATCTGTGGAGGTACATACATATATGTGTGTATTTTGATTTTGCATATATATATATATATATATATATATATATATATATATATATATATATATATATATATATATATATATATATATATATATATATATATATATATATATATATATATATATATATATATATATATATATATATATATATATATATATATATATATATATATATATATATATGTATATATATATATGAACACACTGAGATAGAGAAGCGTCTCGGTTAGCAAGGTCGATATTAATGTTCTTAACTTTACAAGCTAATCGAACGCTCCTCTGTGGCCCAATCGGTTAAAGGCACGTCAGGCTATATGACGGTTCCGTACGGGATCCAGGTTCGATTCCTGTGGGATGACGAATATTTTCTATGAAAATTTTTCGGACATTCAGGCCGGTAAATGTTGTTTAATACTGTTTATTATAAACAGAACATTCACTTAAATATTTGTATCTATAAAAAGAATGTATAAACATAAAAATGCCTTAAAACAATTGTCGTTTTTGTACAGTTCATCATATATATATATACCAATTATTATTCCAACACGTTATTTCTCTTCCATTTTAGAGAATCTGTGGAAGTACTTAAATTAAATCGATTTATTCATTTTTAATCTTTAATAAATATATCATTTACTAATAAAGCTGGTGTTTTACGTAAGCTTTTTAAAGTGTGTGAAAATACAGGACAAGTCGTTCGCACTGCAAACTTTGGAGGCGGGAATTTAATGGTCCAACGTCTTTAACGCATGAGCCACGGAATTCCCTCTGTCCGACCAAAAAAAAAAAACAACTCTTCTTTTTCACACGTTTTTGTAAACACGGCTGTCAAGTTAATTTTCTTTCTTTTTTTTCCTATTTTCTTGTTTTTAGCTTATATGGTATACTTCTAAAATCTACAAATATACACACACACACACACACACACATATATATATATATATATATATATATATATATATATATATATATATATATATATATATATATATATAATTTATCTGTTTTGTTAACAGTTTCTTCTTGTTTAGTGCCATTTTCATTTATTTTCGTGCTTTTTTTTCTTCTGCCTATTAGGTTTTTTCTGTTGGTCGGGTTATTTCAATCCTGGCCTTTCTTCATTTTTTTTTGTTGTTTTGAGAGATGACACTGGTCGATGCCAAAGAGTTTTCGTAAATGGTCGACACACGACACACACAAAAAAATCGAGGATTGTCGAAAAGAATCGTATTAAATTGAAACGCAAGCTTTTCATGTTTACTGACTTCTGGTGTGGGTCAGTTTTTTGTGGGTTTTTTTTTTGTTTTTTCGTTGTTTTTTTTTTTTTTTTTTGTTTTTTTTTTGTTGTTGTTATTTTCTATTCTGTGTGATTGGTTGAGCATCTCCTGAAGGAAACGTCGAAGACATTTCGATTTTTTGTCTGTGAGAATGGGACAGAAAAAAAAATAAGAGGAAAAAGAGAATAATGCCCCTTTCAGGTGCAATCAGTCTATGCAACCATGGGCGAAATTTCTTTCGAAAGGAAACAGTTTTTTTGTTGAATTGAAAGAATGAGTCTAAGAAAGGCAGGAAAAATCGAGACAAAAAATAAAATGAAAGAAAGAAAGAAAGAAAGAAAGAAAGAGTGGGGAGTAGAAAGAAAGAAACAAACAAATAGACTATTAAAGAAAGAATGAGAATAAAAATAAAATGTGAAGAAAGAAAGAAAGAAATAGAGAAAGAAAGAATAAAAATAACATGTGAAGGAAGAAAGAAATGAAGAGACAAAAAAGAAATTGAGAAATAAATAAAGATAAAATATACAGACAGAGAAGAAAAAGAAAAGAAAGAAATAAACAACGCAGGGAAGTAAGAAAGGGAGAAAGAAAGAAAAGAAAGAAAAAACAGAGACGAAAAAAAGGAAAAGGAAAGAAAAAATGAAATGAGAAGAAAGAAAGAAACAAAGAAAGAAAGAAACAAAGAAAGAAAGAAAGAAAGAAAACAGAGACGAAGAAAAAGGAAAGGAAAAATGAAATGAAAGGAAAAAGAAAGGAAGGAAAGAAGAAAGAAAGAAAGAGAGAAAGAAAGAAAGAAAGAAAAGGAAGAAAAAATAAATGAGAAGAAAGAAAGAAACAATCAAATTAGCAAAGCCAAAAACTAAGTGTGCAAGGATTTTGAGATGTGTAAACAAATATAAACAAAGCTATTGTAAAAAGTTTTCGCCATTTTCTCGAAAAATATTTGGTTCTTTGAAAAAAAGATTACTTGAAAACGGCAACGATTTGCCATTTTACAATGGGGAAGGTAGAAATGCCAGTTGTTTTTTATCTCTTATGCAAAAACATACTCTCCATGATTTATATATATATATATATATATATATATATATATATATATATATATATATATATATATATGTGTGTGTACCAGCAGTCGATTTAGTAAATCTGCGGCCTGAAACGAAGATATTTGTTGCAGTTTATGCGATTAATATTTAACAGTGGATTAAGTGCATTGACAAGGCAGCAGATAAATAGCGCAGCGCTCTGATTAAATAAATTATTATAATGGAACCTTTAATTGGTCTGTTTTTCTTTAAATTGTTAGCTCTGGATTTACATTGAGCTCTTAGGATTTCATCCTCCTTGGGACTACCCATACGGATTACCAAGTTTTCATAACTTATATATATATATATATATATATATATATATATATACAGAGACAGTTTAAACATGTATAAGGAAAAAATTCCTTTAAATAATATAGGAAAATAAACACTTTCGCCTGATGAAGGTGGCAAAACCCGACATGGAAAATAAAGTGTAATATCTATTTTAAAAATACACATTTTAACCCAAAATATTTGTGGCTTCGCGCTTCTCTTTAAAAAATGAAAAATATATATATATATATATATATATATATATATATATATATATATATATATATATACCCTATGCGATGAGAACGAAAGTAATATATAAATTCCAACGTTCACAGCATTAATCCAAAAGAGGGCTCGATACCGATAGTAGAGCGATAATTATTCATTATAATTTTATCATATAGACAAAACCATTTTACTTACTACAAAGATGCAACTTCGTTTCAGTGCATTTCAACTGCACTTCTTTTTTCTCAAACAAATGGAAGAAAGGAAGTGACGTTTCACATACGGCTTGCCTTCAAGCAGGATTCTTCATAACCATTTTCGATTCTCAACCGTTGAAGTGCAGTTGAAATGCACTGAAACCAAGTTGCATCTTTGTAATGAGTAAAATGGTTTTGTCTATATGATAAAATTATGATAAAGCAATAATATATATATATACATATATATATATATATATATATATATATATATATATATATATATATATATATATATATAATGTATTTAGACAGCAATCCATCTTTCATGCACATTTCACTGAATACGACAGACAAGGTGCTTTGATTTAATTTTTTATACAATTTCGCATTATTTTATCTTTTCAGATGATAAATTATATAAAAACTGTTCATCTGTTCTTTTTATCCAAGCGCTTTCGGCTATACATTTAGCCATTTTCAATGATGAAATATTTTAACTGTTAACACAAGAAATAGATAGTTGTATATATGTATTTATCCAATGTTTTCCTTTATCATCCGAAAAGTAAAAATTATAAGATCACATGAGAAATTATATTAAAATTTTATCCCTGTCTGTAGGATTCAATGAAAATATATATATATATATATATATATATATATATATATATATATATATATATATATATAAAAAAATATAGTTTTAAGGTAAGCTATATTTATCGGTAAAGGTGCTCAGTTTTAGTGATAAAGTGCATGTTAATATAAAAATGGTCACTGGGGTTCGTACCGAGTGGCTAGAGTCTGTTTCATGCTTGCATACAATCTTTGTCGCCAGAAGATGAAGATTACCTTCAAGCCTGACACATTCGACCTCAGTTCTATATTTACATACGCTCTCTCAATATATGTACACATGCACACACACACACACATATATATATATATATATATATATATATATATATATATATATATATGTATTTATGCAGAAATCTTCCTTTCATGCACATTGCATTGAATACGACAGACAAGGTGTTTTTATTTAGTTTTTTATACAATTTTTCATGCAATGTAATAATTTTTTTTCTTTTTGGATGATAAATTATATAAAAACTGTCCGAATTTTCTTTTTATCCGAGCGCTTTCGGATATACATTTAGCCATTTTCAAGGATTAAATATTTTAACTGTTAAATAAGAATTATTTTGTTGTATGTATGTTTTATAAAATGTTTTCATTTTTTCAAAAAACGGTCAAGATATTCTGTCCCTGTTCAAAGTTAATATTATTAAGTGTTGTTTTTTTTATTATTAATAAGGCTTCCATTATTTTTAGCCTTTTTTTTTTTGCATTCAAACGATGCTATTATATTAGTGTTGTCAACAAGTATGTTACGAATAGTGTCCGGTAGGTCTCCATGAATATTTAAATGAGATCTAATTGAGCTATGGTCAGAAAGGTGTAGAGTGTGTCAAACATGTTGTAGTGTGGCCTATATAATTATTTATGAATTTTGATTGATCAGGAATACAATTTCTTAATGGACATATATATACACACACACACACATATATATATATATATATATATATATATATATATATATATATATATATATATATATATATAGTGCTATAGCAAAATTATTCTGATCGTGTAACAGCATAATTGTCCATACCACAGAATTTTTAATATCTAATAAGCCACTAAACTAATTGAGTTTCTTTTTTCCAAGTTTTCAAATAAGACGTTTAGCCATCTTGACAATATTTTTTGCAAGAATCACTGAAAAACCCTCAAAAATAACTCATTCAGCTAGGAAAAGAACATGATAAAAATCGTTTTGTGACAACCCTAATGTCTTCCCAACTGAACAATGGTGAGAGGAAAAAGATCATTCAGTCCTTCAGTAATAGTACCAACATTCATACACTGGCTTCTATTTTCAAAGTCCATTCAAGATCCATCAAGATTACATTGAATAAGTTTCAAAAAAGAACAGAAGAGACAAAAATTAGATCAGGAGGTCAAAACAGCAAGAGGGATTATTTCAACTTAAATCTAAATAGATTGTTATTGTTCAAAGTAGTGTCTAATAGTGTTAAAAAAAAACTCGGAGAATTCCAGTAAGATATCTTTAATCATTTCTAAGATACAACGGTTCAAAACTTAATCTAACAATTGGTCATTTTTGCTGTGACACGACTTGAACAATTTTGCATTATATATATTACAAGTAAAATAGTCAAAATTATTTTACTTGCATAGAAAACGGTAAAGATACAACATTTATTCTAAAGTATTGAATTTAAAAGGTGCCAGTAATTGACGTATACATGATTTCAGCATGAGAATTTCTTTTAGAAACTTGTGTTATATGATCTTCAGACATGGAAGAATAAATGGTCAAAATATACTTTTTTTGTTGGTGTCATGAAAATACGAAATTTTAAGAATGTTCATAAGTCAAGTAATTTTCAAACAGTAAAACTGACATTCCTATGAGAGGAATGATTATTGTTACTGTGTATATATATATATATATATTATAAATTATTTGATTTAAAATATGTTTTTTTTCGCTACACAGTTCTAACCATGTTTCAAAAATGGAAGCTAAAAGCTCCAAATTTAATTTTGTAATTAAATTAAAGACATTAGTTCCATTTCATCCTCAAGAGAATTTTGGAGTAACTTTTAAAATAACTGGGCTTTAAAGACACAGCTAAAATCACGTTTGAATGGTTACAGATAAATCTACTTCAACTGGACAAGGGGTGTCTGGGTTTTCCTTATGTCTGCATCATTGTATTGGTTATTAGCTAGATTTTGGTAAGGGGTAGGGATGTATTTTTCAAAGAAAACTGACATCTGTTGAATGCATGTCGTCTGGATTTTTTTTAAATTTATTGTTAACGGCAAAAAAATTCTTTCATTTTTTTCTATTTGTAAATTTAAAGATTTTCGTGGGTGTTCAGATTAGAATACTTTTTATTTAACTACGATTTGAAATATTCTCATTTTTAATTTTTATTATACTATATTTTTTATGAACAGTTAAATGCATTAGAATCCATATATATATATATACACACACACACACACACACACATATACACACACACACACACACACACATATATATATATATATATATATATATATATAAATATAATATTTGGTTAGATCATAAATGGCAGAAAAAAAATTATATTCTGTATGCGGCATACTTAGTAAATGCGAATCTGTCAAATTGAACAATGACATTTTTGTATCTGCCTATATTTCTGAGATGAGGTATTATGTACACTATTTACATTATTCGGACTATTGTCCTCATCTTTGTTGCCATATTTATCAACCTTTCGTATCTGTCTATATTTCTGAGATGAGGTATTATATACACTATTTACATTATTCGGACTATTGTCCTCATCTTTGTTGCCATATTTATCACCCTTCAGTATCTGTCTATATTTCTGAGATGAGGTATTATTTACACTATTTACATTATTCGGACTATTGTCCTCATCTTTGTTGCCATATTTATCACCCTTCAATATCTGTCTATATTTCTGAGATGAGGTATTATGTACACTATTTACATTATTTGGACTATTGTCCTCATCTTTTTCGCCATATTTATCACCCTTCAGTATCTGTCTATATTTCTGAGATGAGGTATTATATACACTATTTACATTATTCGGACTATTGTCCTCATCTTTGTTGCCATATTTATCACCCTTCAGTATCTGTCTATATTTCTGATATGAGGTATTATTTACACTATTTACATTATTCGGACTATTGTCCTCATCTTTGTTGCCATATTTATCACCCTTCAGTATCTGTCTATATTTCTGAGATGAGGTATTATGTACACTATTTACATTATTTGGACTATTGTCCTCATCTTTTTCGCCATATTTATCACCCTTCAGTATCTGTCTATATTTCTGAGATGAGGTATTATATACACTATTTACATTATTCGGACTATTGTCCTCATCTTTGTTGCCATATTTATCACCCTTCAACATTATTAAGAATCCCTAAATATATAGCAGGAGCACCGGACCATATATGGCAGCAATATTCAAAGCATGGATGAATGGTAGACTTATAAATATGTAAGATAGATTCTGAAGATAAACATTGCAGATTCCTCTTTGGATTTTATTAAGAAT